AATCTCCAAAAATAAACAGTAGCATTATAATTAATATAGCAGAAAAAGGCAAGGTCACGGTAATCATGGATAAGTTAGATTACACAAAAAATGTCATTAAATGCTCAACACTCATACTTCCACCTGAATACTAACCTCACCTGCTTTCTTGCCCACAAACTTCGATCTCTTTGACAGGTATTGTCCAGTATAACCTTCGACATCCCAAGTTTTTGACTTTCATAAAGACATCTCTCAGTGTAACTGTAACAATCTGTCATCGCACTTTTACTACTTATCCGAAATACATAAACTTTATGCTTTCTTGCAGTTTTTTGCGAGGTTTCAAAATTGACCGCTAAAATACTAAAATACTGGAGGGCACACCAAAACTACCATCTGATTTGCAAGTAGCAAAAATAGATTTGACACTCTGAAGATAGCCCTATTGCCAGTTGCGACGTTAAAGACTAATGACTTAACATACCTATAAACCTTACTATTAAAATAATTGGTAAACTTCTTCGAGGTGATGACTTACCTAAACAACGTGCTAACGTCTCTGTTAATTCTGTCGTAAAGCTAATAACATTCTGTATGATAGAGGCAAACCATTTCTTTTTCGATGATAGTTTTTTCATGCAAACCAAAGGAGCACCCACTGATAACCCAGTTTGTTCCATCCTTGCTGAAATTTTCATGGAATACTCCAAAAATATTGCACACTTTTTCACCTAGGGTTTTCAAGGGTTGACGATATTTTTGCCATCTGTCCCAATAGCGACGAAAACAATTACTAGATCTCCTCAGTGGCATATTCCCTGAAAATATCTAGTTAACTGATGAAAGAGAAAACAACTACAGTCTTCCATTTCCTGATGTCTTAATAATTTACGCAGCAAACTGCTATAAAGCTAAAGTTTCTCCCAGACCCACAAATACTGACAAATATCTAAATTTTCTGTGGTTACAGCTTTGACAGACAGAGCCCTAAAGCTCTGAAGTGATGAATTTCTTAAAGACGAAATAACGTATATTAAATTTAGCCTATACAATAATAGTTATTATCCAGCTAAAGATGTTCATAGCGTCACGAATCGTAACATACGCCATTAGCAAGATTATTAATCAACCTTACTTAATTCTACCTTTTCACCCGTAAAAACTTTAGTGAAGGGCTAACAAGATTGCTTGACCCCAAATATAATATTATGTTATATGTAAAAGTTCCAATAAACTTAATGTGTTATTCAATAATTATGAGAATAATAACTCACTAAGCTGGATCTGCAAGTTACAATGTAATTTCAGGAAATATTGCATGGGATAAACAGGAAAAATCCATCACTCAGAGAGCAAAGACCCATCTGTCAAGCTGGAAAAGGCGGATGATTGCAAACGACCGTGAGCGACGACATGAAGAAAACCAAGTCTCGCCCCCGGATCAATGGATTGCCCAGCATGCGGCCAAGCAAGAACACCCTCCTCCCCCAACAGTTTAAGTTTAGCGTGGTCCCCAAAGAGAGACATTGGCTACATAGGCGGATAAGAGAGGCATCAATCATCCACCCGCTAACACTTCCACCGTAGCAAAAGATAAAAGCTCTGCACTGTTTGGATGAACCTCGTTTCTCCTGTCCCCTAAAAACTATTTAAGCAGCATGGGGGACCAAAATCTCGCCTTATGACTCTGAAACTATTGATTGCTGGGTTAGACCAATCATATTTACCACACTTTACCACAAAACTCTCTGGAAGAAGATCTGCGAGACAGAAGCCGAAACGTCGGAATTGATCTGTCACCGGACTGAGCACAGTATGTTTTGCATTGTGTATAAGTAAACCATGTTTTCCGCATCTGTTCACTGTATTCTGCCGGATAAATGTAAAACTATTTTCGTACGCCGGAATACGTCAAATATGGAGTGACTCATGCAGGACCATATTTAGCGGCATACTGCACCACCGCTTATCGGACGAGTCCATTGGTCTGCATTCCAAGAAACCACAATGTCAGGTCTTCTATGCAGCTGATATGTATGATACTCATTTTGTGCCACCCATACAATACGTACTGACGTGCTTTCTGCAAAACCTTGCAAAGCGTCAAAATTTGTGTATGACATTCATAGAATGTCAACTTTTTTCTTTTGAAGAAAAGAAGTATAAAATGGATTTTCTTGATTATTTTTGTACGTATTATTTGTAAAGACAAATCTGATTATTTGCTGTGCTGATCTGCGTATGCTAGATGATTCACACACGGAAAATAAGGTTGCAGAATTGACCTTCGTTCATTTCTCATTAAACCACGGAATGCTAGTCTAAAGTTCAAGCTGAGCGTTTTACATCTGGGCTGCGTCGCGCATTTTCATAAAACTTGCTAAGGCAAAAAAATGAATATATATTTTTACAAAACATACCTATGAAACTTCTGCAAACTTCAAAGTCTTAGCCATTGCTGGAAAAGTGACAAAATTACATAAACTACGGAGCTCTCCTCAAATGGATTGGCGCAGATGGCACACGAAACTTCGTTACCTCAGTCTATTATTGAATGTATAATTTTCTACTCAATGAACAGGCAGATCACATGCACTATCAAAATAATAGTTTTGTTGCTTATATGACTTACCTACTATGTGTCGTTCTGACAATACTGCAGTTTAGTTTAGCTCGAAATCAGATGACAATAACTTTGACATCTTACATAAACACGTGTTTACCCCATCTGCAGACATTCACTAGCTACTCTTTTCCATCGGCATCTTTGAGAACATCCAAAATCATACCAGCATCCGGAATTCGTCACCAAAGATGCCAGATCAAGGCCAATCTATGTTCTGTCACTGTTATATGCTTTCTACCCTATAAAATTCATACCCACTGAATATCAATCAGTTCAAAGTAATCGTAAACTAGACGACCTAAAGGTAATCTCCCTAATCGGGTGAGGGGGGGGGTTCCGATTTAATGGTTATTTGTATGACGAAGGTTCGAAGTAAAAGGACCTAAAATTAAAACGACTTCCATTTCTACGATACCATTCTGAATGGCGCTGTTTGATTTTGAATCGCATTTGCCTCTATGCCAT